ATATTATAATCACCAATAATAATTAAGCTAGTTTAATATTATATTCACAATTAACTTCAGCTAATTTAAAAAATATCATACAAATTATCCATTTTTTTTTGCATAAGTATTTTGTCTTGTTTCCATAAAGTAACTTTTTTTTGACTTGATAAAATTTTCAAATTTTTCATTATTTTTTATTTAGTTGTTCTTAGAATACAAATATTCATGTTTTAGAAAAGGTTTGCATGACAAACTAAAAAATAGAATCACACTACCCCACACCCTAGTGGAAAAAAGGCATGCAAAAAAAAAGTCCATCAGAAACTTATTATATTTTTTAAACCACCTTGTAACAGTTGTAATCTAAATTTTGAAATCATTTTCCAAAATCTTACAAAATAAAGGGGGGTTAAACAAGCAGGTCCTGGATTCTTACAGTTCAAGAAAAGTAACTTTTAAAGATAAAAGTGTAAAAATGAAATTTTGCAATATTGATACTGAAGTCGTATAATAATGTTTTATAAAATCTGAATCAATGAGTTTAATGTTTTATAAAATCTGAATCAATGAGTTTTAATTTTTGTTAATGTGAAATTGGTAAAAAAAATACTAAGACGGTTTGACACATGGTACTTAGGTTTAAAGTAAATGACTCTTATACCCTTAAAAAAATTGTCATATAAATAATAATGAGTCCGCTATTTTTAATAAAGCTTTTATAAACACTTTTGAGTTTGAGTCGGGTTGGCTCCGATTACTTACATTAAAAAAAAAATTAGAAAATTTTGACCTAATTTTTGTTTTGTTTAGGGTGTTAGTGATATTTTACAAAACAAACTTATAACAACCGTTTGATATTTTAATTTTACAAACTAAACTTTCACAAAATATAAATTCAATTTATAAATACAATAAATAAAGTAAGTTTATTTAACGAGATTTTTTGTATGTAACATGTAAAAGAGTCGTATGTAACAATAGCTTTAAGAAGATCTTCATTTTTGTGACAGCTGTATACCTTGTAGCCGTTTTCCCAGAACAGAATAAAATTATAATAAACAGATTTAAAGGCTTATTCTCTCTAATAGCCTTGCCCTTTGTTTGATAATCAATTGATATTTTCAAAAACTTCTCTGTATGTTTTACTAAAGCGTGTACTTTCAATGATACTCTTACTTCAACTTTCAACTTTGCGGTAGGTTTATTGCAACTATTTGATTTTTATTTATATTCTTTTTTTAAAGTCTTTCCTTAGCAACTAACTTTTGCATTTCTCAACTAAATGCTTGTAATATAAAAAAAGTTATTTATCATTATCCAGTGAAAAATAAAATATTTTAAAATATCTGTTATTAAGTAGCTTTGAACACTACCCTTTCTCAAATTCAACTTGAATTTAAAGTTTTAAATTCCATTCTTCTATATTAAAAAGAAATTCATTAGATTTTATATAATTATCAAGACAAGTAAAAATCACGTTTGTTTTTCCACTGAGAAGATGTAGGTTTATAAGTACAAAAACTTTTACAATCTTTGTTTTATCTGATAGATCACACAGTGACCACATAGTGACCACACAGTGATCTACCAATGATCACACAGTGATCTATCAGATGAAAAAAAGTGATCTAAAAGCAGTTCGTTGACACAGTTATAAGATGCAACAGAGAATTTTTTTATTTTTTTCTGCAACCATTTTTGTAATTGCTAGCTGATAATCTAATCATTCCTAGCGTTCTATGTTCACCTTGAAATTCAAAATTTTGAAATTCATCTTTAATAAAAGTAGCAGGGATATGTTGACACTGCAGTTTCTAATCCAAAATAATTGTTGGCCAGCTTTATATTAAATAAGTACCAGTTTAGTAAATTTAACTTCAGATTTGCATAAGATTTTTGCAAATTTTCTACAAATGCAATAATAACAAGTTTGTTGAACCCAGCATCTTTGTATTTTTCTTTAACTATATTTTCTACCAATTTTCTAATCTAAAATAATTGAGCAAATTTTAAAAAGTTTAGCTCCTTTATCAATTACAATTTTCAAAAATATACTCACTTAAAAGTCCATCTTCTTTTGACAACATATTTCACTAACCCTAAAATATCTTTACAGTAAGCTATTACTTTTCCCCCCTCATCAAACTTAATAAATCTTACATCAAAGAATTCATTAAACAAAGTGTCATTTTCAAAAAGTTTCTTTCTCTTATCTTTTTCAAAAGATCTTTCAAATGATTAGTGATCTTCTAAAAATTGTTTAAATCTTTGTTGTTTTAAAATTATAATTCAAATAAGTGTTAATTTGATAATTGGAATTCAGTTGTATAACAATATTTTTTAACTTAGCGGCCGTGACGCAGTGGGTAAAACGCTTGCTTTACAAGCAGGAGATCCAGGTTCGAAACGAGCTTTGGACATATTTCGCGTTACGGTAAGGAAGGAGGCGTGAACTTCCTGGTTAAATGCACTTCTGTGGAGCTCAGCGACAAGACCGTAAGGTCATTTTGGGGCATCTAAATAACAAAATAAAAAAAACTAAAAAAAAAAAAAACTTTATCTTTATAGCTGCTTCATAAGTTTTTGCTTCTCTCTGTAATACAACAGATGTGTTTTAAATTAAAGAAGATTCTTGGGAAAAAATAAAGAGGGGGGCGAGCTCTTAAAAAGTACTAACGCATCTAAAAAAAAATGATCCTCAAGATTAAAAATCACCCAATTGAAATATGTCAAAGACCAGAATAACCGACTATATTCCTCGAAAAACCGACTATAACTTTTAACTACAACTTGAAAATTGCCATCTATTAACTATAACTTGAAAATCGCGATATTTTGGGGAAAAGGAGTATAAATTTTCTAACCCCTCCCCTTCCCCACACACGTATAGTTGCCTCTGGTGCTAATTCTGGTCCAATAACATTCAAATATTTTTTACAAACTTAATTCGTTCAGGAGAAGAAATAATATCTGAATTGAGTTTTGGTATTCCTCTTTTGTCTATACCTGATCCACATTTTGGCAAAACTATTAGTTTCTGGTCAGAACAAGAACAATTGTTTGGCTATTAGAAAAATCAAATGGTTTGCTCAATGTTATGCAGGTATTACTATTTTCTATTTTTATTAAATTAGTTTGACATCTTCAAAAAAATCCATTTGGAAAACGGCATTTAAGCTTCTATTATCAATAAATCATTTTGATTCTCATTAAAACTTCCGTCCTGAATTTTACCTAATTTTTTTCATTTTTTTACTTAAATTTTTTCAAAACAAATTAAACAAACTTTACTTCTAGTTTGAACGTGTTTTGAACACAGCATTTCAAATGTAAAGGAGTTAACGATTCTTAAGTTTTTAAAGCACGACTAAATATATTACAAACGCAACACATCACAAAACAAAACTTGCAAAAATGCAAACAAACAAATAAACTCGTAGAAAGTAAATGGTTTTAAATTAAGCAATTTCAATGTTTTTAGCAAAAAAGTATAAATTTGAGGGTTATATAAAATGGCGAGGCGCAAACTTTGAAAGGTAGTTTGCAAAAGTAAAACATCAAAAGCTATATGAACATTCTTCAGTGTTCATAAAAATCTTTTAAAAATGACATCAATTGACCATTTAAACATAGGGTCGAAAATTTGGGTGCAGTCATTCATATATCATTAAAACTCTTGCTAAGTACACAAACATCAAAACTTATACAAAACAAGGACCTGATTGTTAAGAGAGCCACTATTTGAGCGAACGAGCCTCTGAATCATAATCTGTTAACCGTAATTTTTTTCAGTTCTGGGAAAGCGGTTGTAAGGTATTCGGTTGTCATAAAAATTATTCTAAAAATCTTCTTAAAGCTATTGTTACATACAACTCTCTTACATGTTACATACAAAAAATCTTGCTAAATACACTTACTTTATTTATTGTATTTATAAATTGAATTTATATTTTGTAAAAGTTTAGTTTGTAAAATTAAAATATCAAACGGTTGTTATAAGTTTGTTTTGTAAAATATCACTAAAACCCTTAAAAAAAAAAAAATTAGATCAAAATTTTCTATTTTTTTTAATCCAAGTGATCGGAGCCAACCCTTCTCAAACTCTAAAGTGTTTATAAAAACTTTATCAAAAGTCCCGGATTTATTAGGGTGCAAGAGTAATTGGAGTTACCTTACTTAAACCTAAATACCCTTCCTCAGTGTAAAACCACCTTATGTTTTTTTCCAATTTTAAATTAAAAAAAAAGAAATAATAATAATAAAAAAAAAAAAAAAAAAAAAAAAAAATTAAAATTTATTGCCAGATTTCAATATTCCTCGGAAAAAAAAATTTTTGTTCTAAAGTTTAAAAAACTTTAAAAGCATTTAAATTTGTTGTGGTGAATGAGAAAATAATAGAACCAAAATGTATATAGTTTTTTAACCACAAATGGTTTATTGATGAAATTTTCAATCCGACGATTAATCTCTATGTAGTCTAAGATATTATGAAAAAAATTAATTTTATTTCATTACACCCATACATGGAACCAGGAACCCAACGTTTTTGGTAAAGCTTGTTCCCTGATTTTTTTTACCGCAATTTTCTGTAAAACATTATTATACGACTCCAGTATCAATAAAATTTCAAACTTGCACTGTCTCTGAAAGTAATTTATCTTGAACATCAAAAATCCAGGACCTGCTCGCTTAAACCCCTTTACTTTGTAAGATATTGACAAAAAAAAAATTAAAAATTTAGATAATAACTGTACAAGGTATGGTGGTTTAAAAAATGTAATCAGTTTCTTGTGTACCTTTTTTTTTTTGTATAGATTATTTTCTCTAGGGTATGACCCGGTCTTTTTAAAGACCGACTTTGTTCCGCAAAAGTATCAATAAATCACCTTTCCTGACTTTATGGATAATTTTGCAAAACAGAAAACTTGGAGAAAATTATTTTACTAATAAATATCTTTTAAAGACTGTTGTTTCGTTATAAATATGTAATACTCACGTTTTTGAAAACAAAATTTTGGTAACTTTTTAAGTTATTCAATTTTTATTTCAAATTTTTTAAGGTTTATCAAAATTCATATACAATGTGACAATTTGTTCTGAGGAGGTCCATCCAATAATTTGCCACGGGCATCAGATGGTATAGTTATGCCTCATGTCATTTAAACTAATGAAAAATATAATGAATAAATATTTTTCGAATTAAATAATCTAATATTAAGTAAGCCTAAATTTTAAATCTGAATATCTCAAATTTCATTCACTTCATAAATAACTTCGAAAGGCGCACGTGTGCCGTTTAAAGGTATTTTGCATATACGCCATTTATATTGAGTGTAGCATTGATATTGAAGGAAGCGTTGATTTGAGTGTGGCGTTGATATTGAGTATATCGTTGATATTGAGTGTATCGTTGATATTGAGTGTATCGTTGATATTAAGTGTAACATGGAAAGTTGCATTTTAAATGTAAACTAATAAGTTTGCTACATTATAGTAAAAAAAAAATCAATAAAATTACTATATGATTTTAAAACCAAATTTGATACTCTCGAATAAATAACACAATTTTGAATATTTACAGTATTTAGTATCCAAGGTAACCACGTTTATTTTGTTAAATAATTTATTTGCTTTGTAGACCTAAGTAATTTTTATAGATCTTTGAGAATAGTAAAATTAATAATGTATATTTTAAAGTTGATTTTTTACGTGAAGCAGTCAGCCAATCAAGCAATCCTAAAGAGTAACTGCATATCATTTATACCTCATTTTGTACATACTACGCAAGAAAGTGGTACATTGTTTTGGTAACCTTGCGCTTCGCATTTTAAAAAGTTACAATTAGACACTTCCACGTATCTTAACTGACCATTATCTTCATTAGTTTCTCCATAAACGCAAATATATTCAGTTCTGCTATTGAGACGAGTTTTAAGCATACCTTTATATTCCGTTAACCAACCAATTGGGCATTTCGTTTCAGCTGGTATCATAAGGACATTATTTTTGCTATACCTTTCGCAAACTGAACAATCAATTTGTTTTCCATTTAAATGAGTGATTCCAGTTATTTGTGCAAACTTGTTGCTTTCTTTTTTATTGTTGCTGCTTTTACTTAAATTTGAAGAGTTAACATTCCGATACGATGGTTGTTGAGGAAGACACAAATAGTTTGAGCCATCACCTTTTTGAGTAGAAACAGCGCCACTTATGTAACCTAAAATTAATATACTCAGTCTAAATTTTTTGAAATATTTAAAAATAAATTTGAAGGGTTTTTCTCGTTAAAAAAGTACCCTGCTTAATTTTTAATAGTACCGTGAAGTGAGGTTACTTAAAACATTTTTCAATTTTCAAGTGCGATATTTTTATAAAAGGTAACCGTATTAATTCAAAAAGAAAATGCATAAAATGGCACCATTAGACTAATATGATTGTGAAAGTTTCATTAATATATTTCATAGAATATTCGAAAAAAAACAATATAATACTTTAAGTTATTTTTAAAAATAAGTTCAAAGTCAAAGTCACACTAGGGTCAAAAGTAGTTTTCACCGGATTATTCCTTTCATCCATACGCGTCAAAGTTTGTGTAACAAGTGCTGGGAGACTTTCTTTTAGTATTGGTCCACACTGTAAATGTGTTCTCTTTTAAGATAATAAGTTCTTACGCCAGGCATTTTTGTACGGACGAAAGAATGCCATATCAAGAGGTTGACTAATTTGGCTTAAGTTAGGAGAAAGGCAAACAAAGTTGATGATATTTTTATAACAAATGCTTATGACTGATATGTTTATGTGAAAATTCAAATTGTCACCTATTAGAACTTTGCAGCCCGGTTGTTTTTTGGCATGTAGTAGAAATATTCTCTCAAACCAATCATCAAATATGGCTGTTACATGGGGTAGTAATAGAGCCCCATCCACATACCATAAGAGCTGTTGCAGATTTTGAGTGGTTTTAAATTTTTTCGGGGTTTTGAACTCAATTCTTATAATAAAACATTTATAAACATTTGGCTTTACCTGGGTTGTCAGTTAAATTTGTCTTATCATATTTGTGTATATTGTATACTGGGATCCCATCAATTCTAACTGTCAATTTATCAAAAAACTTGTTGATACTTTCAACGGTTAGTCCAGCTCGAGCTTGTTTTATTTTTGCTCGGAGACGTTGTGATACAATATTCCTCTTTAACATCGAGTAAACGAAATTCTTTCCTGGAAGATTTTTCTTAATCTTTCGAAATTACATTGCTCAATTGCGAGAAGTTCCGAGTTCGATCCCTACCACGTCCCTGGTTGTACCGCGCTCAACTCGTTTCTCCGCGCAGCAGCATTGTTCTTCAAGGTTCGTATTTCGGAGTTAGAGAGTTGAGAGAGGGTTATAACCACAACTAAAGCAGCCTCCTGAACTATAGTGGTCTTCTCAGCCTTGTGGTGGTGAATTACCATTTAAAAAAAGAACAATTTGAATCAGAAATGTTCAAAATAACCTCACGTGTTAAAAGTCACCCCACTTCATGGTATATTTATATTTAATATTTTTCTCCTCAACAATTTAACCTGTGTAAAAATGTTTTAACATAAATAGTAAAATCAATTAATAACAATATATAAGCAATATATAGCAATATATAAAATAATGTAATTAATTAATAACAGTATATAAACAATATATATTAATATATAAAATAGTGTAATTAATTAACAATAATATATAAACATTATAAGCAATATATAAAAGAATATAATCAAATAATAACAACCTATAAACAATATATAGCAGTATATAAAATGATGTAATTAATTAATAAAAATATATAAATGATAGCCAGAGTAAAACTAAAAACTTTAGTTTTTCACTTTTTTCTGTTTCAAAAAAAAAAAAAAACTTTTGTTAAGGAACCAGTAAATGAATAATTGTGAATAAATTATATATTTATTTTTGTCATAGTTTATAGATATTGATGTTTTGATTAACAAAGACTAACTTACTTACTCCGAATTAAAATAGCTACCAGAGCAGCACAGTTGGGTCACTGTTAGTATTTATTTGCGGGTACTTCCCTAGCTTAACGTATGTAAGGAAAAAAGTGGCCGCCTATTGGATCAGTATTGACAAAATGCACTTAATTTAACATGCATTTAAAACGTGCGTGATGGCTACGTTACATTGCGTGTTGGCTACGTTACATTGGGTCACTATTGGTCTAAATTCAAAAAGTTTTGAGTTATAAAAATCTAAATTTTTATAACTGAAAAAGTGTTAACTGAAAACCTTTTAAAAAAAAGTTTTTTTTATAACTGAAAACCTTTTAAAAAAAAGTTTTTGAGTTATAAAAAATACTTACGTAGTCAAAAACTAGCTAATCAATAAAATGAAATTTAACTGTAAATTTTTTAGCTAAAAAGTTAGTCAAAGTCTTTGATCAGCCTATCAGCTGATTCTAGCTGAGCTAGCCTATCAGCTAATTCTAGCTGAGCTAACCTAACAGCTGATTCTAGCTGAGCTAGCCAATCAGCTGCGCATTTTGGAATTAACAAACTAGTGTTACTTTGTTATTTGGTATTAATAAAATTATTGCTTGACTTATCTTATTAACTATTTAAATTAAAACATTATCAGTTTTATATACTATTCAGTATTTAAATCTTTGCTTTTATTGTTGTTGTGGTTGTTGACATGCCAACGCAACACTAACCTTATCTATTCGTTGGAAAAATTAACGCAAGCTGCAATTTTTTAGCTTGCATATTTTTTTTTTTTTTTGTATGTATTTAGGTGCTCCCAGAAGTCCTTATTAACTTATCATAGAGCACCGGGGTAGAGCATTTAACAAGAAGTTCACGCCTCCTTCTAGAGCTGGCGTCGAACCTCGAACCTCTGGGTTCTGAGCCAGAACTCTAACCACTGCGCCACTTTTGCGCTATCTAACGAATAATGCAGTAGGCCCTGCTTCATATTCAATGCTTTGCTTTAGTTAGCACAAAATAAGGCTCTCCTAACTGCAAATCTAATACAGTTGGACCTACTAATGCAAAATGTGTTTTGTCCAATCGACTCAAGCCTCTCAAGAGCTTACATTTATTCAAAAGATAGATAGTAAAACAATTATAACCGTATAAAAAATTTTGATATCTTTTTTAAAGCATCTTTTTTTGACATATGTGTAAATATATGTGTTTAGAGTATGATCCAAAACAGTGCAAAAAACGCTGCATCCACCCATGATTTGTACAACAAAAAAAGCAAAAACATTAAAAGCCGAAAATGAGACGAATTACGTTTAATTGGATTGTTTCAAAAACTTTTTAACTTAAATAACATTTTAAACCAATTATAATACAAACATATAAAACTAATAATATCAAAGATCATTCGTAAACAAGTCGTCAAATAATGCATAATAGTTTAAAACAAAATTACGCATAAAAAAGACAAACAACCTACCATTGTAAAGTAATGTAGCATTTTGGTTACATTCTTTGCTACCCCACTTGATGTAAATTATTGAATTGTTTTTTATAGGTGCACAATTAATACTATGGCCTATAATGCGAGATGCATGTTTTGAATTAAATAAGTAAAAAGCCTTTGAATTAAATAATGTTTTTTTATAATTTAAAATTTTATATTATAAAAATATAAAATATAAAAAACAAAGCATACTTTACCTGGTGCTCCTGATGGACCTGGTTCACCTTTTTCTCCCTTATCACCTTTTGGACCTTGAGGTCCTTTAATACTTTGTTCCTGAAAAACAATCTCATATATATATATATATATATATATATATATATATATATATATATATATATATATATATATATATATATATATATATATATATATATATATATATATATGTATATATATGTATATATATGTATATATATATATATATATATACATATATATATATATATATATATATATATATATATATATACATATATATATATATATATATATATATATATATATATATATATATATATATATATATATATATATATATATATATATATATATATATGTATATATATGTATATATATATGTATATATATATATATATATATATATATATATATATATACATATATATATATATATATATATATATATATATATATATATATATATATATATATATATATATATATATATATATATATATATGTGTGTGTGTGTGTATGTGTGTGTGTGTTTTGTTTCATCGAAAAGCAGATTACCATTGTTTGACTTTTTTCTGTATAATTTACGTTGACGCAGTTTTCTAAAAAAAAAAAATTGTTTTAAATTAGTCAAGTTATTAAATACTAATAATCCATTGTAAGCAGATTACTTTTTTTAGGTACACATTTATTAAATATTTTTAGGTAAAAACATTTACAATGTAAAAGTAAGTAAAAACATTTATTGGTGCAAAAAGAAGACTTCATCATCATCATCATTATCATCATCAAGAATAAGACATCATTGCTAAGAAGCACACATTACTATACAACATCATACACGTCATTATACACATCATTGATCCCCATTCAAACGTACTTTAATAAGCCGTAAGATATTAGGTAAATAAAAAAACAACTCTGAATAAATTTATAATTATATATAGTTAGATCAAGAAAAATAACAAAAATCAATGTATATTATACATACATTTACTAAGTGTCTGACTTCGATCTGAAAAGTAAGCCGCCTTTGCCCTAATTAAAAATAACTTCCACAAAATTAATTATAATATTTTGCACTTTTTACAAATGGCGGATTTAACTTGTTAATAAAAAAACGGCTTCACTTTTCGATCGATAAAATCCCGGAAGTTGGACATCTAGTATATATATATATATATATATATATATATATATATATATATATATATATATATATATATATATATATATATATATATATATATATATATATATATATATATATATATATATATATATATATATATATATATATATATATATATGTATATATATATATATATATATATATATATATATATATATATATATATATATATATATATATATATATATATATATATATATATATATATATATATAAATATATATATATATATATATATATATATATATATATATATTTATATATATATATATATATATATATATATATATATATATATATATATATATATATATATATATATATATATACCGTTATTCATCCATGCATCTAACCGTTAATACCGTTATTCATCCATGCATCTAACCAGAGTCGGATAGATTAGATGCATGGATGGAAGCCCCCAACCCCCTCACCAGTCCGACCCTTTATCTAACTAACCCTAATTGCATGTCTAAACTCTAAGTTTTAAAAAAGTGTTTTTTTTTTTTAAGATTTTTGTGTGATGAAAGTAATTTGAAAAATTTTACGGAAATGCACCTGAAAAAAATATTTTAGACAGGTAAAACCATCAAAAACAAAAAATATAAAGCAAAAGATTATAGGGTAAAAGAAAAAAAAAATTATACCAACTAGTTTTTTTCCATTGCAATCGCAAGCCAAAGATGTTTTATTTGAATACATGCGATATATTCTATTTATCCATTCTTCAGCAGCTTTCACGTTTTCCATTCTAAAAAAAATAATTAATTAAATTAATTCTCGGAAATCCATTTATTTATAATTTTGATACAAGTTATCATTTATAATTTTGATACAAGTTATTCCCTGGTCAGTTTGTCTATGAGTTGTAAATAGCAGCATATTTACATTTATGCAAATGATAATTTGGAATAATAAAAAAAAATCTATTTCCTTTATCTTTGATTGTTAATAATACAAAAAAAAAATTAAGGAACATAAGTATTCAGACGCGGTAAATTTTGACGAGTACAATTTTGCTAAAGATTTGTTTGCTTTGATCGGCTAAAATAGAATAATACAAAAAATATAGTTTCCCATTGCATGTTGTAAACTGGATTTATAAAAACAGAGACTCAAAACTCTTCCTAAGTTTGTAAATTCTGTAAATATTGCATTGGCACAACTTTTAGATTTATTTTGTAAATTTTTATTTAGGTGGAATATTCTAAATTTAAGCTAATTAATAAAGTCAGTATTATTAAATATTTTAACTATTTATTTTTTTATTTATGACTATTTTATATTTAATTTTTTTGACTACTTTATCGGTTTTTTTTACTACTTTATCGTTTTGGACGTTGCTTTCGTTTGTTTTTCAAATATTCAGAAAATGTAAAAAAGTATACTTTTTTATGATGAAATATGTATTTTAAAAATGTTAAAAAAAATCGATTGTTACATTAAGCTCTAGATTCTTTTATTCTTGTATCTTGGTCTATTTTTTTAGCATCAATGAGTTGGTCTATTTTTTGTTTGAATTAAGTTTTGATAGGCTGTCTTTTTACCAAATATTCATATTGATTGCAACGAGTTTAGCATCAATGAGTAGTTTAGCTTATTGTCTGTTTTTAAAATTCGGAGGGCATAATGCATCTTATGTACTTAGTTAAAAACCAATGTTAAAAAGAAAACTTAAAGAAATTCAACGATGTTTACCATATAAAATTAATCCTGGTAATCTAAGTGCAAGGAAAAAACTTGTAAAACAATTTAGTTATCACATAAATTGTTGTTTACGGTTATTCTATTTCACTAATTTGTGTTTTATCTTTTAAGTTTTATCTTGCTAAGATGAATTAAATAATGCTAAGAGAATTATTTTTTCTTAAATAATAACCAAGATCGAATACCAACAAACTAATACTTTAAAGATGACGGATTTTCAATTTAACAAGCGTTGAAACTTTTTGCTGATGTTTGTAAAGTTAAATAGACAAAAAATAGATTTTTTCACAACTATTTGGGTTTACTCCTAAACAGCTTGAAACAAATTGAACCTTTATTATAATTTTTTTTTGTGATTGTTTAGGTGCTCCCAGAAGTCCTTACGGACTTATCAGAAAGCACTGCGGAAGAGTATTTAACCAGGAAGTTCACGCCTCCTTCCTTATTGCATAATTAGCAAGAGCCGGCATTAAACCACGGACCTCTTGTTTCTGGGCCATAACTGTAAACACTGCGCAAAGACTGCGTTCTATATATGTTAATGAAACACCAATAATAGTTCAACAGTATCTATATTCAAAATTTTGAAAATTTTACTTTAGGGAAAAGTGGCGTTTTTGTCCAAAGCATGAGAAGGAAAGTTTGTGTGTCCACAGCATGTGTAAATAAATGTTTTATAGATTTATATTACTCTTTTATCCATAGCTACATAAGCTATTGTAATATTACTTGAGGAAGTACTTGCTCTTCAGCATTGAAAAAAGTATTAAACAAAAACAAGCCAGTAGAATTACATGAACATAGTTCTTGATGAAAATATGAAAAGTATAACCTCAAAAATTGTTTTAAAAATATAGTTAAACAGTATTTACTTGAATTAACAGACAAAAACATATTTTTGTATTCTTAAGTTAGAACAAATAAAAATTTTTGGGATATTTCTTTATCTATATATATTATTGTTGCAATTTATCATATCTTATTGTAATTATGTATTAATTCATTTTATAAAATAAGTACTTAATAAGCATAAAGTTTTTTTTTATATTCCTCATTATATAAATAAGTGAGTTTTTTAAAACAAAACTTTATGCTTATTAGGGGGCTTGATGACAAGACAGCAGTTTTCTACTTGCTCCTGTCGTCCTTAATTTTTAATCAAATTTATTGATGAAATTTGTAAAAAAAGAACATGATAAAGTTTCTCTCGTTTTAAATATTTGATTTAAATATTCGATTTAAATATTCGATATAAATATTCGTTTTAAATACTCGATTTAAATCTTCGATTTAAATTGAAGACTTAAATCGAGTATTTAAATCGAATATTTAAATCGAATATTTAAATCAAATATTTAAAACGAGAGAAACGCACCCACGGTAAAACCAATAAAATAAATTGCAAAAAAATTATGGTGATCAGAGTTCCTTTTTTTTATCTTTAAATCTAACAACCTTCCAAACAACTCCTAAAGCAATTTTATAAAAAATTTTTGTGGTATTTTCAAATTTTTCAAAATTTACTAATAGAATATTATCAAAAAATCTTTTGGTGTTAAAAACTTATGACCCCCTAATTAGATTTATTTTTGTCAGTATAAGATAAAAATATCTTCAAATATTATGGAATTATCAATTAAAAGTTGAATAAGGAATGTGACAAAATTTGTAAATTTAAAAATACTTAGATGAAAATTTTGAAGAAAGAAGGCAAAACTTAGTATAATAAACTGCACAATGGTAGTAATGAGAATCGCAGTATAGAAACCCAAAAAAATTTCTTTGTTTTTAAAAAAAATTTAAATTTTGTTTACATTTCAGACTTTATTTAGTATATACTATAATAATAAAGATGGCATAATAACTTAATTTCAATAAAATTGCAATTTTGTTTCTAGTTTTCTGATAAAAGTTGCAAAACTCAAACAAAATAAAACAGTTTATTAAACTATTCGTTTTTTAACATCTTTATATAGTTATTTCAACTTTTAATTTAAATGTAAACAAAAGAGATTTGAATATTTTTTCCATATTAAAAGGAATTTCAAGAAGACACAGAAAAAAGTGTTAACGAATAAAAAAGTTAAATTAAAGGGGAAGTTTCTTTCAAAGCATCTTTAAATTTATGTGAAAATTTCAACTTTTTACCTTACGAAAAACTAATACAAATTTTAATCAAGGAAAACATGTAGTCATGTTGGCCATTATTTTACCTTGATATCCTCCAGTTTAGAAGATTTATTCATATTCAAATTTGGGTAACACTGGGGTTAATGTGGTTGGGAGTGAACACTAGATAAATATAATAAGAATTGTAAATAATTGAGTGATGAAGAGGGAGGTTACTTATTTTACTACCATGATTACCATGGTAATCAAGGTAATCATGGTAATAAAATAAGTAGCTACTTATTTTACTACCACGATTACCATGAAAAAAAGTTGTTGGACTCCGACCCAAATAAACGAAAACAAAAGTGACTGACTAAAGTTACATCGGCCTACGTACGAGCTAAATAAAACTTTACGTGACAGCTGGCACAATAAGTTTGTGAAAAGATTAAAATATGAGAATATAAAGGAAGTTTTTAGCAAACTTTTTGTTTAATAAAGCAAAGTTTAATATTAATAGTTTTGTATTGTTATATAAATATTTCTTATTATTCGAAACAACTTATAAGTCAACAAAAAAAAAAAGGTCGTATTTTTTCTAATACTAATTAATAAATTGGATAAATTGAATAAACCTTTCTTTGACCAAAGAAGTTTAAAAAAGATTTATTCAATTAAAGTCCAATTTTATTATTATTTTACAGTTAAATTGAAAAAAAAACAAAAAACAAAAAAACTTTTAAAGTTAGAGCACTCAGATTAATTTTATCTTGATTTTCAGATGCTTGTTCTAATTCTAAAATCAGGAGATTATCAAAGATATATTTGCTCAGATATCTTTGGTCAGATATCTTAGATTCAAATTCAGGATATATTTAGATTTAAGAAGATTTAAGGAATCTGTATATTTCTAATAAAATATATAAATGATTTTATTGGGCACCCTAGTTATATGATAAGTGCAGATAATACAAGTAGCCTATTTTGTTGATATTTTCTAAATAATACATATAAACTTCATAAAACCAAGTTAAAATTATAGGTAATATTAGTTTCAATTTAAGGTGGTACATACATGAAAACACTATTTCATAAAATATTTGTTTATAATTTTAGGTTTATAATGACAAAAATAAAATTTAAAATAAAAAAATTATTCTTAAAAATAATTTGAGAAATACCCTAATTATGGAGATTTGTTGTTCCAATATATCTTTTGATAGCAAAAAGATATTTTCATCAAGCTTTGGTAACTAATTAATAAATGTGCAATGTATGTTCTGAAATAAGTAAAAGTTAATAAATCAAAAGTATAACTTTAATTGGCTCAATTACAATAATTTGGGTAATTTTCCTTAAAAATAAATAAAAATCCGTATAAAAATACGTAAAATAAAAAAAAATCAACATTTTTTCAGTTCAGAACACAGACTTTTATGAAAAGAATGAACTCTAAAAATTTCTATATATTTGACAAAACAGGTATTAAGTTATTTGGATCAAAGTTAAAAAAATTGCGATTCTAAGAAAAACTCATTAAAAGTAGGGAGCGGCGATGTATTGTATAACGATGCGTCCATGTATCGTGCTCGATGCATCAAATAACTCATCGTGTTCGATATATCAAAAGCGATTAGTAGTTCGATGCATCGAACACGATGCATCGAACAAAAATGTTCCGGAACGATTAACAATGTGTAATAAAAAGAAAAATTATATAATGGTGTATAATTACTTAAATTATTTATTTTTCAATTTTTGACTATGTTCCTTACGATGCCTTTAATTTTCACTTAGGAAAATTTTTTTCCGGTTAATGATGCATTAGACAATCTATTAATTTTAGGATTATCAATACATTAGACAATTTATTTACTTTTTTGGAAAAAGTAAATAGATTGTCTAATGTATTGATAATTTTAAAATTAATAG